TTTTGAGACAGGGTTTCTCTATGTAGCCCTGGCTGTCCTGGAACTCACTCTGTAGACCAGGCTGGCCTCAAACTCAGAAATCCACCTGCCACTGCCTCTCAAGTGCTGGAATTAAAGGTGTGCGCCACCACTGCCCAACTGTTTCATTCCTATTTTTATTTTTTTAGACAAGCTCTCTCTATGTAGCCCTGGCTGTCTTAGAACTTGTATATAAGCCAGGCGGTGGTGGCGGACACCTTTAATCCCAGCACTTGGGAGGCAGAGGCAGGCAGATTTCTGAGTTCGAGAGTTCGAGGCTAGCCTGGTCTACAGAGTTCCAGGACAGCCAGGGCTACACAAAGAAACCCTGTCTCCAAAAACCAACCAACCAACAAACAAAAAAAAGAACTTGTATATAGATCAGGCTGGCCTCAAACTTATAGAGATTCACCTGTTTTGTCTCCTGAGTTCTAGAATTAAAGGTATGTGCTAGCCTGTGTACTTACTTCTCACCAGAGCTACAGTGAATTCAGTGCCAGTTCTGATAGACCATCATCTAACTTTCTTCCTTTCCTTCCTCCCCTACCCCTTCCTTTTCTAGACAGACTTTCATGTAGGTCAGGCTGGCCTCAAACTCACTTTTAGCCAAGGATAACCTTGAACTCCTGGTCCTCTGCCTCTGCCTCCCAAGTGCTGGGATTCTAGGCATATGCCACTATACCCAATTTTAAGCTAGAACTCAGGGCTCTAGGCATGATAGGCAAGAACTCTACCAACTGAGCCACACCCCTAGCCTTGCTCTCCATCCAGTGTTTTTTTTTTTTTTTCCAAGCCCCTGAACTGGTTATTTAGCTGCAGTGTGCAAGGGAGGCTGCCATCTGTCCTGCACTCTTGCTGACAGTAAGCAATGCATGACGATTACCAATGTATGTCGGTTATCAATGCTGCTTTTTAAAGATGCAGTAGCTTTGGTGGGGGGTGCAGTGATAACTTGTGACATGGTTTCTTTGCATTTCTCTTATGAGTAATACTGGCCTCACTTACTGTTGGGAATAAACTCCTGCAGCTTTCTAGAGTTCTTTGAACTGTAAGCTCCACTGGGAGATGGGTTTTGTCACAGTTAACATTGGTTTTCTACTTGACAGAACCTCAAATGAGACAAGCCCATCATTGGGGAAAGTCAGTGTAGAAACTAACACATTGACCGTGGAGGAGGCACTGCTTACTGGCTTTTCCCAAGATTCACAGTGGCTGCTGCTCTCTTAATACAGTCAAGACCCACCTGCTCAGGGACAGCACCTCCAAAGAGGGCCTTCCTGCATCAATTAGCCAACATGAAAAGGCTCCATTGACATGCCCACAGGCCAAACTAATGGGAGACAATTCCTCCACTGAGCTTTGCTCTTCCTAGATGTGTCTAGGATACAACCAAGATCCGTCATCACACCAGTCTTGGCAACATATGAATTCAAGGCCAGCCTAGGATGCGAGTCAGGGTGGGGTGGGGTGTTGTATTTGTGGAAACTTCAGAGAGCTACACCAAGCTTCGTGGTGCTGGAAAGTGGGTGTGTGGGTGCTAATTATACTTTTTTTTTTTAACACTTCTGAAATCATGTCACCATGCTTACTTGAAATGACAAATATAACCTAAGGTTTAGGGTTGTAGCTGAGTGGCAGAGTGCTTGCCTAGTATGTATGAAAACTGGTTCTGACTGCAGCTAAAAACACTGAGACATATACACAGTACAATCGGGAGACACAGGCTGTCTCTGCTTGCTCTCTCTCTCTCTCTCTCTCTCTCTCTCTCTCTCTCTCTTTCTCTCTCTCTCAGGTCCCTTCGGGCAGCTTTTCCTTCTTAAGTCACAGAGGTGGTGGTGGTGGGGCTCCTAGCACCCTCCAGGCAGTAACTCAGCGGTACATGCTCCAGTGCCCTGATGGGCCCCTCCCTGCATGTGTACAGAAACCTGAGGTAGCGTTAGCTGGGGCCGTGAGGACTCAGCCCCGTGGGGCCTTTCAGAGGATGGGAAAATTTTATGTCCTTGCCCCGGGTTTTCCCTCCTGGCCTGCCCCATCATCTCACTGATAGCTAAAGAGTCTGAGGGAGCGTTGCCCTGGCCCTGAGCCATCTGAGAGTCAGTCATCTGTATGCTTACATCCCTGCTGCCCCATCCTGGGCCAGTGAGGGTATGTGGTACCCTGTATCACTCCTCCAAATCCAGCCTGCTTTCAGCCAACTCCTGCTTTATAGATAAGGAAACTGAAGTCCAGAGAGGCACAGCTCTCTACCTAAACTCACACAGCAAGCAAGTGCAAATTGGAGATTTGAACTATACCACGTCTCTCCATTTTTCCCCCTTTCTCAGCCACAGGTTATCTTTTAAAAGGTCCATTGTACTGGAAAGGACAACACGTCACCCTATACTTCATATCAAATCGTGAGCCCAAATTAAGGGACTTTCTACAATTTACCCATTTTAAAATGTCAGTACAGATACTGAAGAGATGGCTCAGCAACCAAGAGTGCCTACTGCTCTATAAGATGAGGGAGGACAAGAGTTTAAAACCCCAGCAACCACATCAGTTGCCTCATATAAGGCAATCATGTTAGCACATACCTGTAATCCATCTCTCAGGAGGCAGGGGTTGTAGGACTAAGGAGTCAAGGTCTCCCTCAACTGTATGTCAAGTATAAGGCCAGAGGCTCTGCCAGAGCCTGACAAATACAGAGGGGAATGCTTGCAGCCAACCATTGGACTGAATGTAGGGTCTCCGATGGAGGAGTTGGAGAAGGGACTGAAGGAGCTGAGGGGGTTTGCAGTCCCATGGGGGAAGCAACAATGTCAACTGACCAGCTCCCCTGGAGCTCCTGGGGACTGGACCACCAATCAAAGAGTACACATGGAGGGACCCGTGGCTCCGGCCACATATGTGGCAGAGGATGGCCTTGTTGGACATAAGTAGGAGGATTAGCCCTTGGGCCTGATGGGGTTCGAGACCCCAGAGTAGGGGAATGCCAGGAAAGGAAGGCAAGAGTGGGTGTGTGGGTGGTGGAGAGGCAGAGGGAGGGGGGATGGGATAGGGAGTTCCGGAGGGGAGACCTGGAAAGGGGATAACATTTGAAAAGTAAATAAAGAATATATCCAATAAAAAAAAAGGCTTAAAAAACGTAAATGCATATAGTTCCAGCACTCAGGGGACAGAGACAAGACAAATTCAAGTCCAGCCTGGGTTCTTGGCTGATAAGGTAAGTTTTTATCTCAAAAGAATGTGAAAGGTGGGGAGACAAGTGGAGGATTGGGGGTATAGTTTAATGGTAGTATGCCTGTCTAGAATGAGACCCTGGATTTACGTCCCAGCACCATTAAACAAACAAACAAACAAACCTGCCTCAGTGTCTGCTAAGGAATATGAAAGAGATCACTCCAATGAATAATATTTGAATAACTGGTAAATTAGAATGCAGGCTGCTTGCTTTGCTTTGCTTTGCTTTGCTTTGCTTTGCTTTGCTTTGCTTTGCTTTGCTTTGCTTTGTTGACACTGGGTCATGCTATGTAGCCAAGGCTGGATACAAAATGT